TCCGACCGCCCACCCGCAGCCGAGGCGAGGCCTGGCAGGTCGAGCTCTGGCCCGGCCTGGCGGCGAGCAGCGCCCGCGGCGGGGCGCCGCCGCCGGGTGCCGGAGGCCGCCGAGGTCGGCGCTTCCAAGACGGGGCCCTGGGGGACGGGGCCCCGCAGTCGTGTTGCTCCTACAGTGGAGGCCAGTCCACAGGAAACCTTCCGCAAGAAACCCAGCCCTGAGACCCCAGGACGTCCGTTGATTATTGATGTGGGAGCGCCACGCTTTCCAAAGAAAAACCATCGAAACCCAAGAAACCCAGGGCACCCTGGAGGCCAGCAGGGTGTTTCTTGGCATGGGTCTACACTGTATCGTGCCCAAGGATGACAGGCCAGAAAGAATTTCGAGCACCCAGAGAAGTATCGAAACAGTGTCGAACGAGCATCGCCTCCAAGGGCCCGACACGTGGAAGCCCTCAAGTGTCGGTACTTCTCGTGGTGCTCGGAATTCTTTCTGGCGACCAAGGCTAAAGTAGATTGGAACATCATAACCCTACAGTGGAGGCCAGTCCACAAGAAACCTTCCACAAGTAACCCAACCCTGAGACCCCAGGACGTCCACTGATTTTGCGTGCGGATACATCACGCTTTCCACAGCAGAACCATCGAAACCCAGGAAACCCAAGAAACACAGGGCGCCCTGGAGGCAAGCAGGGTGCTTCTTGGCATGGGCCTCCACTGCAAGGACGAGTGGCCTCAAGCAGTGACCGGGCGACGAGCAAACAGCACAGACGTCAGCTGTTAGAGGTCCGCGCGGATTGCTCTGATCGGCGCTAAACCTGGTGGCGGCGACTCCAGCGCCGCCCCAGGCGCGCTCCGCGCGGCAGGGAGGCGCCGAGTCCGTTCCTCGAAGCGAAGGTTCGGCCAGGGATTCCCTTCCTGTGCTTGTAGAGGCCTCTTAAATGGGGTCGGAGTAGAGGGGGTCGGAGGATAGCCCCGCGTCGCCGACACATCGGCGATGCATCGGCGATGCATCGGCGATGCATCGGCGACGTTTGCGATGCGTCCACGACGTCGGCGTGTGGAAAAGTGGGCCCCACGTCGAGCCGCATCGGCGATGCATCGCCGATGCATCGGCGACGTGGCGCGATCCTCCGACCCCATCTACTCGGACCCCGTCTATCGGGGTCGGCCAAAAGGGGGGCGTCCAAGAGGGGGGGGGGGGCGCAAATCATGGCCGGCGGCATGTGCACGACCCAGCGAGGGGGCCGGGGACGTAAAGAATAAGAAGAGGCGCCATAAAATCTGGGGAGACATCATTGCCCCCGCCATGAGATCCGCTCCCCCTAGTCATCACCTCCCTCTTTGCCTCCCCCGAGTCCAAGAGGCCCAGAGCTTGGAGCCCCATCCCTCAGGGCCCCGTCTTGGAACCGCCAACGAGGGCCTCTGGGATCCACCGGGGCACGCCGCAGGGCGTCCTGCGGCGGCGCTGCGGGACTGGCCGCGCCGCCGCGCGAGCCAGCGTCGCCGGCGGGGCCGCCGGGGGCTGCGCCGCGCCGGCCCCACCGCTCTGAGGTCCCCATGGCCAGCTGCTTCAAGCCACAGGGGGCTTGGGCCAAGCTGGCCTGGGGCAGCGTTCTCAGACATCGAGCGTCTTCAACAAGATCAAAACGGAGATGGGTTGTCGTTCTCGGCCTCTGGAGGCCCTCGCTGGGCCCCAGAAGCATCAAAAAAGGCACTGGATGAGAAACAGCCCTGGGGAAAGGGTCGGGACTTCTGGGGAACCCGTCCTGAAAAGAATCAAGACTTCGGATGTCTGGGAGGGGGGTCTTGGGCCAGACTGGCCTCAAGCAGCGTTTTGCTTTGGCGGTTCCTGGCGGCCTGGCCCTGGGAGGTATGAGAGGCACTTCGTCCGCAGCAGCCCATGCCCGTGACACAGAACCGCGGAAACAAAAGCAGCTGCCTCCCCGAACAAAGCCTGCCACCCATGAGACAAACTCGTGCAAAAATGTACGCGCGCAGCTGACAGCCTCTTCAGCAGGGTCTGGAAAACGCCCCTCGCCACCCGCTATGCCCTGGGCAGCCTGGACGGTCGCTACAACGGTCGCGGACTGACGTCTTGCAGAGGGGATGCGTATCTAACGCAAGATGTGACGATGTGACCTCATGGCCTGTTTATTCAAGACGCCTGGAAATCCAAGAATCTATGCAACAATCCAAATTGAGAGGCCTGTCCATGAAGTCCTTGATAATGGATCCCGCTCCTGGACCCCAAAGACAGGCGCGAAGGACAGCTAATTACACCATTACCCTAGAGAAAAAAAACATCAGAGGGTGGTTTGAAAATTAGTGATATGGATATTGGAGAGAGCGTGATCCACCGCCGCTTTACTGTGGAAAATTGCCAGCCTTTCCTTCGGAACCCGGGGGTCGCCCCCCCCCCCCTCCGAAAATCCCCCCCGGCAAAACCCCCCCCCCCCCCCCCCCCTACCCCCCCCCCCTCCCCCTCGAAAACCGGGGGGGGTCACTACCGGTTCGAACCCCTCCCCCCCCCCCTCCCCCTCCAGATCTGGAAAACCGGGGGGGGGTCACTACCGGTTCGAACCCCCCCTCCCCCCTCGAAAACCGGAGGAGGGTCACTACCGGTTCGACCCCCCTCCCCCCACGCACCGCCAGCAAACGACTCCCGGTCCCTACCACCGTCCACATCACATCCCACTGTTGTTCCCAGCACCACTGTCCTCACCACCACTGTCCCCACTGGTTCCACCACCGTCCCTAGTGTCCCCACCAGTGCCCCCACCACTGTCGCACTGTCCCCACTGTTCCCACCACTGTTCCCACCACGGTTCCACTCTCCCCACTGTCTCTACGGACCCAACCACTGCCCGACTATCCCCACTGTCCCCGCTGTCCCACTGACTCCTCCGCTGTCCCACTGAGCTGTCCCACTGTTCCCACCACTGTCCCCACTGTCCCCACCACTGTCCCCACTGTACCTCTGTCCCATTGTCCCACCGCCGTCCTCGCCACCGCCTTCACCACTGTCCCCACCACCATTGTACCCTCCACTATCCCACTGTTTCCACCTCATTCCCACTGTCCCCACACGACTGTCCCCACCACCACCGTCCCCACCACTGTCCACTGTCCCCCCCGTTCCCACCATTGTCCCCACCACTGTCCCCACCACTACCGTCCCCACCACTGTCCCACTGTCCCACTGTCCCCACCACTGTCCCGCTGTCCCCTCACCACTGTCCCCACCAACACCGTCCCCACCACTGTCCGCACCCCCACTCGGTTTTCGAGGGGGGGAGGGGTTCGAACCGGTAGTGACCCCCCCTTCCTTTTCAGGATGAACTGGGGGGGGAGGGGGGAGAGGGGTTCGAACCGGTAGTGACCCCCCCGGTTTTCCGCCAGCAGCGGTAGAACACGCTCTTTCGGATATTGAGATCGTTTGAGATCGATAATGGAATCGATAGTGAGGACGATTGCAAGGTCGATCGTGAGCCCGACAGTGAAGTCGATCCAATGAGATCGATGGTGAGATCGATCGTGAGATCGCTCGTGCGATCTATAGTGAGATCGATAATGAGATGGATAGTGAAATCGATTGTGAGACCGATAATGAGATCGATAGAGAGGTGCGGAGTGAGATCGATGGTGAGACCGATCGATAAGAAGATCGCCAGGGAGCCCGGGACCCCGGGAACCCCTCCGCCCACCGAATTCGGCAGGGAACCCGGAACCGGGAACCCGGCCGCCCACCGAAATCGGCTGGCGAACTTTCGCCAAATCTTTCAACACCCGCTAGGACCCCTACAGTGTAAGCACTGATTGGAGAATCAATCACGACTGCTGCCACAAGCGCGCCAAGGCCAGTGGAGTGCTACTGCTGAACACGGCCACGGCCAAGATCAAGGCTGCCTCCGCCTCCGCTGGTCTGCTTCCTCTTGCCGAAAGCATTGCGGAGCCCATGAGAGGGCAGAGGGCAAGTTCAGTGATGCTCCTCATGTGTTGCGCGCCCCTGCACTATCCGCGCGATTTCATATGCAGCCTGGATAAGCCAGTACAAGAGGGCATGAAACAAGTCGGCACAAACATATAAAACACACCTAGATCGGCGCGGATTTCTTGGATCGGCACCGGACACCCCCTCACTGGCGCGCGGAGCGCGCCAGGAGTGGCACCAGAAGCGCCGCCAAGGGAGTCCAGCGCCGATCCGAGAAATCCAGGCGGTCCTGTCAGCGTTCATGTTACGCAACATTCGACGAGCGCGTTCCACTACTCGCAAAGTAACTACTCGCAAATGGCCAAGGACTCGTCAAAGCAGACTGGTGTTTTTCTGACGTTTGCGAGTAGGCACTTTGCGAGTAATGGAACGCGCTCGGCGAAACCTGCCCTTCGTCGAGAAATACCGTTCAATTCATGCGGAATCACAGGTACGAGACCCTGCCGGAGGCACAGCACAAAGTATCCCCATGATTTTACCCATTGAACACGAGGAGCTACATGATGTGCTGGGAGGGCACCCAAATCAACTGCTTAGGATCCCTCTGAACGGAAGGATTCTCTGTGCTGCTGCTGGGCACTCTGCTCTTGTGGGCCACGGGTCCTAAGGCGACTGACATGCAAGTGCAGATTACGGACAAGCTGGGACGCACAACGACGCCGTGCGATCATCGGGGCGCATCGGCTCGTCGGAACATCGGAGTCGGATCGGATCGGGCTGGCCGAAATCGAAATCTAATATGATCGATCGGATCAAAATGGACCCTGGATCGCGAGAGCAGGAGGGAGGTCGACAGAGATATGACGTACAGTGGAGGCTAGTCCACAAGAAGCCTTCCACAAGAAACCCAACCCTGAGACCCCAGGACGTCCATTGATTCTTGGTGTGGGAACGTCACGCGTTCCATAGCAAAACCATCGAAACCCAAGAAACCCAGGGCACCCTGGAGGCAAGCAGGGTGTTTCTTGGCATGGGCCCCCACTGTAAGGCAAGACGGCCGCGCGGTCTTCGCGGAGACGCAGAAGTTGGTGGCCAGCAGGGCGATCTGGCGGATGCTGCTGCTGCTGCTGCTGCTCGAGGCAACACCCGTCGAGCCTTACCACCATACGCAGAGGGCACCTACACAACACCACCATGCCTGGAAAGTGCAATGCTGGGAAATGTGTATATATATGTATATAAAAATGATACCGGAGAAAACCACAATCAGATGTGTGTTGGGGTTATGCTGCTATAGGACTATAGGGCTATAGGGCTATGAGGCTGTAGGGCTATATGGGCTATATGGCTATAGGGGTATAGTGCTATTGGGCTATTGGGCTATTGGGCTATAGGGGCTATAAGACTATAGGGCTATAGGGCTATAGGGCTATAGGGCTATAGAGCTATAGGGCTATAGGGCTACAGGGCTCTAGGGCTCTAGAGCTGTAGGGCTCTAGGGCTCTAGGGCTATAGGTCCGTAGAGCTATAGGGCTGTAGGGCTATAGGGCTATAGGGCTATAGGGCTATTGGGCTATAAGGCTATATGGGCTATATGGGCTATGTGGGCTATTGGGCTATTGGGCTATTGGGCTATAGAGCTATAAAACTATATGGCTATATGAATATAGGGTACACGTGCACCCCCGGGCACCTCTGGGCACCCCCGAGCACCCAGGCACCCGGGCACCCACGGGCACCCGGCCACCCGGCCACCGGCCACCGAAATCTTGGGGCACCGGGCACCCACGGGCACGCGGGCACCCACGGACCCGGCCACCGGCCACCGAAACGGCGCCGAACAAATCCTAACCATTTAGAATCCGCTAGGACCCTTACAAAGGCAAGCTCTAATATTGGGGAATATCTAGACCATCCAAGGTCACAGGATGGCCATGGCTGGGCATGGTGGTGCAGAGATGTCTTCTGCGGATGCCAGCATCCTGGCCTCCCTCGTCGACTGTCCCATTCGATGTTTGCCTCTCAGGGAAGAATTTCCTTGAATACCCGGCAGCTTTCGAAGCCCGCACTGTCGCAATCATCGCTATCACTGCCACCAACATGTATCAATATCATCGTTTAGGCTGGTGCGTATCTCTTCTCCTCCGTGCTCCCAAGCATGGCAAGTGTGAGATTTGCCGCGGACAGCTGGGCACAGAGACCAGGACAGAATTAACGATGGAGATGGAAACAGAAGAGAGACACAGACGACGACGGAGATTGACCCAAACAAAAGCGCGACAAAGGAAGCAGGGGAAGACGGAAACCGCTATGAAAATTAATCGAGAGGGAGAGAGAGAGAGAGAGGAACAGAACGAGGATGCGATTGGGCCATCAAGGAAAACAACAAGACGACACGACATAAGGAAAGAGTGTTGCAGCACGGCCGCCTGGATGTACGCGTTTTTGTTCAGGAACTTCACGCTCTTCTCGAAGCACCAGAGGCAATACGCGAATACCCGACGGACCCTGAACGGGCACCCAGGCCACGAGCAGGTCTAGCTTGGACGGCCGTTCGGGACGACTCGGGCACACACGGAACGCTCTCGGCGAGGCGCAGCTGCTGGAAAGCACCACAAGCTGGGAAACCTCCGAGAAACGACTACACCGCCCGAAACAATCACGAATCGAACCTCCTGGTCTGAGCAGCCGGCGTCCTCCCGTGCTCCGTGCCCGCAGAGCCCAGACTTGCCGCTCTGCCGCTCCCGCTGCCAGGAGGAGGAACAGGAGAAGGAGGGGGGAGAAAGGAAGAGGAGGAAAGGGAAGATCGAGGAAGAAGGAGGAGGGAAGGAGAAGAGGAGTAGCGAGCGCATGAGGGGACGCGCCGAATCAGGGTTCAGGACAGGCATGGACGAACGGAAAAGGAGAGTCAGCACAATCTTTCACAGAACATGGCGCCCGCAGTTATATCATCCAGCGCGGGCGTTGTGGGTCCGAGCGGCAGGGAAACCTGACCAGGACGGCTGATCAGGGCAGCACTGGACGGGGGACGATCAAAACACCAGCCCTCCATCACCAGAAACAAAACGATATGAACACAAAAATTAGGTAGCGAGACCAAGGCACTCCACAGCAGGATCCGACACGAGCATACGTCGGGGAAGCGGGATGGGGTGCTTTCGGCCTTCGCTAGGGTGACGGCCAGAGGCGAAATTGCCTCCTCGCATTTCCTCTGAAGGTCCCTTGTGGCCCTCACACCCATTATCGGAGGTTGGGGAGTGAGATCGAAGTGGAACAGAGAGCCCCCCACCGGGAAATCGGTTTCGGTTTCGTGTTCGTGCGTGCCGTGCGTGCGGGCGAGGCGAAGCTGCATGGGCGGGCAAGAGGAGGAAAGTCTCCTGTGGCTGAGGCGCGGCCGGACCAAATGATTTTCCCTCCGGCAAGCGGTGGCCCGCGATGTCCCGCCGGTGTCCCGCTTGTGGCTGGGCCCCCGCCGGACCAAATGATTCTCCCTCCGGCAAGCGGTGGCCCGCGGTGTCCCGCCGGTGTCCCGCTGGTGTCCCGCCGGTGTCCCAGTGTCCCGCTGGTGCGAGAACGATAGTGAGACCGATGCTGAAATCGATTGTGAGATCGATAGTGAGATCGATAGTGAGACAGATACTGAGATCGATCGTGAGATCGATAATGAGATCGATAGTGAGTTGAATCGTGATATCGATTGTGAGATCGAGTGATATCGATACGGAGATCGTTAGTGGGATCGATAGCGACATCCAGAGTGAGATCGACAGTGCAATCGATCGAGTGAGATCGATAGTGAGATCGATCGAGTGAGATCGATAGTGGGTTCGATGGTCCCATCGATCGTGAGACCGAGAAAGACATCGCTTGTGAGATCGATAGAGAGATCGATAGTGAGGTCGATGGTGAGATCGATCGTGAGACCGATAACGACATCGCTTGTGAGATCGATAGAGAGATCGATAGTGACGTCGATGGTGAGATCGATCGTGAGACCGATAACGACATCGCTTGTGAGATCGATAGAGAGATCGATCACGTGGTGCAATTTCACGCCGCACAGAGGCCCCTGGAGGCCGCAGTGAAGGCTCCCGTTTCTTCGTTATCGTCTCTGGGGGCCCTGTTCGTGTTCGGGCCCGTCCCATCCGAGAAGGGGGAGAGCAAGGAGGGTTCAGCTCAAGCAGGGTGCTTAGCCCTCGCCGCGCCACTCCCGCACCTATTTTGGCCTGCGCAAAACGGCCTACGCTGCGAGGCATCCGCCGCCGGCCCGCTCCCGCCGCCTTTCCGTTCCGATGCTCGACCGCGCGATGCCGGAAAAGCAGCAAGCGTGCGCCATCCCCGAAAAGCTTCCAACAGGCACCCAAGAGGCCCCAAAGAGCCCCCCAAGAGGCCTCCAAGACCCCCCAAGAGGTCCAAAAGACGCGCCCAAACGGCCCCCCACGCCCTTGCAAAATGAACGAAATCCGCTGGCCCCCTTGTGGGGCAACCAGGCTGTAGACCGAAGGTTCGCAGTTTCCTGTACTAGTTGCAGCTTCCAGTTTCCACTGTTACAATTCTGCTTCTTACTGCTTACTGTTCCTTGTTGATGGACCGCGCGAGGGGGGGGAGGCCCGAACGGGCAGGTTTAGTACGCCCTGAGCGTGTGCTCTGAATTGCTGGGGTGGATAAAATTGACACCCCTCACGCAGATCGGCGGGGTCAGGGTCCAAAAACACAAAGGATTTGCCACGTTTCTCAAATTTGCTGGCACCCCTCACGCAGATCGGCGGGGTCAGAGTCCAAAAGCACATGGGATTTGCCGCATTTCTGAAATTCAGTGGCACCCCCTTACGCAGATCGGCGGGGTCAGGGTGCAAAAACGTAAAGGGTTTGCCACATTTCTAACATTCGGTGGCACCCCTCACGCAGATCGGCGGGCCAGGGTCCAAAAACACATGGGATTTGCCACATTTATCAAATTCGGTGGCACCCCTCACGCAGATCGGCGGGGTCAGGGTGCAAAAACGTAAAGTATTTACAACATTTCTGAAATTCGGTGGCACCCCTCACGCAGATCGGCGGGGTCAGGGTCCAAAAACACAAAGGATTTGCCACATGTCTGAAATTCGGTGGCACCCCTCATGCAGATCGGCGGGGTCAGGGTCCAAAAACACATGGGATTTGCAACATGTCTGAAATTCGGTGGCACCCCTCACGCAGATCGGCGGTCAGGACACAAGAGACTTCCAACATGTTCAAATTCGGGAAAAAAGATTTGGGCACAGCATACGGGAGCAAATGGAAAATACGACAGCGAGCACAACAATAGACTCGCAATCTCCGTTCGTCTTGCCAATTACCCATCGTTTTCGCATGAAGTTCCGGCGCTGCTTCACGGTGAAGCCAAAGCCTTATGGCTTCGCTCTTCCATGGCCCATTCTCCGAGAGAGGGGCCGGCGGCAAGGAGCGAAGCCCTGACGGATGAATTATTATTTCGTTGGTTCCCGGGGGGGGAGAATGATACCAAGGCGCCCAAGAGCGAAGGATGACGTAAACAACTCGACACCAAGGCTGCCAAGAGCGAGCGGCAACGCAACCATCACCACTGTTGCCCATTGCTGGCCCCCCTCCCCCCCAACCTCCTCATCACCCGCAGGGTGGTCGTATAGGTAAAACTGGGACCAGAAAGCACGCCCCGAAGAAAGAATCCACAGCGCATGCATCCAACCACGCCGCCCGCTCGGCTGAGCACGTGGCCTCTGGAGGCCCGAGGGGACATGAATGGTCCCCCCCGCGGGGAGCACCATGCTGGGAGGGGCCGCGTTGGCTTTCGAAGAAGCCGCGGCCAGACGGGGGCGCTTCTCCGAGCCAGCCACAAGATTCAGAGCGACGGTGGCTTCCCTCGCACGGGTCTGACCAGGCGGTTCCAACTGTACTCGCGGCTTCACACGGCGAAGGGCCCTCATAAATGCCACCCGCGATCCCAACCCTCGGAATCGGGCGAGGAGGAGGGGGGGGTAGGAGGGGGCCCCCCCAGAGGCGAGGGAGGGGAGGGGTGGGAGGTTCGCGAAACTCCGGGGCCCTCGTCCTCTTGCTCTCCGAAGCCGTTTTGGCCGTCCAGGGCTCGTGTAAGACATGGGCGGGGCACCTGGGGAGGGTTCAGCGGAGCCTCCACGGGGAAGGACGCGGGCCGGGGGGCCCGTGGATCCGAGAGGCGGGCACGGGACAAACCTCCGCGCACGTGCGACGACATCCAGCTAGGGTCCGCGCGAAACGCCGGCATTATATACATGTCCAACCACCTGCGAGCCGAGGCCCGGGGTCGCGCAGGCGTTGGCTCACAGTCAGTGCTGTCTGCTGTCGCGCAGGCCGTGATCGACGGAGTCGGCGGCGTCGAGGTCGGCGCGCAGGCGGCGCGAACAAATGAAACCTCCAATTTCGATGCGAGGTCGCCGCGGTCGTCGAAGGCGCGCCACAATAGCCTCCGTAAGTCGTTGTCCGGTCCTCTGGGATGCGCACGCCAACCCGCGCCTTTCATAAGGCCTTCCATAATGCCCAAGCTGTCGGCGCGAATACGCATGAGCAGATACCCACGCCGCAAAATTTGAATAACTGCAAATAGCCCCGCCCGTGGAACGGATTGACGGTTTCCCGGCAGAGGGCCATATGCAATCCCGCGCAGAGCCTGCCCCGCCATCACAGCAATTCCCCAGCCTGCTCGGTTGGCCCCAGGCCATCCGGTTGGAGAAAAACCAAAACCAGCCGTGTAGATGTTCCCCGTCGGGATGGCAATCTCTCCGCCATGAGCAACTCGCCACACTCCAATAAGACATGGGGGTGGGATCGATGGCAGAGCGTTTGTCGGCACCAGGAGCACGGCCGAATAGCACGTCGGCGCGTCGCGTGGCGCGCGCAGCCTGAATGACGTCTGCACCCACCGCAGCCTCGCGCTCTTGCTGGAGAAGGGGGCAGCAGACGACGATGTAGCGTGCCAGGACAGCCGAGGCAACGCTGGCATACATCGTCTTCAGCACCTCCATATTGTCGCAGCCTTGCCTGAGACCATTGCGCCCCAATTGTGGCGCGTCGAAGTGCAGCCCGCGCCCGCTCAAAAAGGCCCCATCTCTAGGCGAGCCCCCTCGGAGCCAGTGGAAGTTTCAGCGGTGCCATCCAGTAGCCACAAGGTCGACGCTCACCTGGCGCACCTACCGGCGCGCGATCTTTCTGACGATTCCATTCCTCAATCTTCACATTCACAAGATCACGTCGCGCCAATGTTCTGATCCAGGCAGGACTGTCGGATGTAAGATCTAAGAGCACTCCACCACGCACGACCCATGAACTTGCCGTCGTAACTCGCCAGTCGAGCAATCTAAGAGCAACCGCGACAGCGCCAGCGGGACCATCAACATCTGCAAGCTCGGGGCTCGGTCCGAGCGCCTGGGGCTGTTGCGGCAAAGCCTCGCCAAGATCGCCGTCAGGCGCGATCGAGTCCTGCGCGAGAAGCGCCCGCGTGCACAAGGGTCCTGCGATGGCCATCATCTCAGGATGCTCAAAGAAGCGGGGTGCGAGCTGCGCAGCCAACAAGGTAGAAGCGCCGGGACGACTGCGTCGCCATCCAACTCTGACCATGTTGACCATCGTCTTGAACACCGTTTCAGCGGCGCCAGCGATCTGGATGCTGTACTGCATGGCGGGAGCGATACACGGCTGAGCCACCACAACCCCAATCTTGGCCAGTTCACAGAACCTCTGAACCTGGGCAGGCGCTCACGCATTCTGGCCACCCGCTTGCGAATCGTAGAGACACTCAGCTTGTGCCCCCCTTTCTGGCCTCCATGCCCAACACCTCCAGCGCCCTGCAAGGCCGGAAAGCCGCGACGGCGCACCTGTTGCGCGACCTGCTGTGCGACGCCAAAGTCCGAGACGAGAACCTGAACCTTGTCTTGTGCGCTCGGTTAGCCCAGCGCCTTCAGGGCCGCAGCCAATCGCTGTAGAATTCGCACCGTCTGTTGAACAAAGTCCTGCAGAATGGCCACTACCTGAATCGCGGCGCCATCCGCGTAGATGCCCAGGCAGCGGCGCAGGTCACGAAAGACTTCTCGAAGATATCTCAAAGGGGAGCACCATGCCCAGCTGGAGCAAGAACATGGCTATCGCGCACCCTGGCAGCACCCCACGGCTGACCTAGCATGAGCATGAGAACGACGCGGCCCACTCGACGCGCCTGGGGGCGTAGCGCATCGACAGGGACAGTTGTAAGATCTGCGCAGGGAAGCCGAAGTATGCCGCTGCCTGCAGAACGCGTGGCCAGCATGCCCGATCAAAGCACTTGCATACGTCCACTGGCGTAGTCGCGGCCGCCTTGAGCTTGTCATGCGCGACGGCCTCAGCATATCTCACTGTTCGAGCACCTACATCAAGCTTGCATTTGTGAGCGCCCAAGGCAAGATATGGCCGAGTATCTCGGGAGGTCCAATCCCGAACTTGAGCGAGTCGCACATTGGCACATAGCCTGCGCGCGGCAGGCAACAAGGCAAATAGGCAAAGCCACCCCGCGGTCTAAACCAGATCACGATGTGAACGTCGAGGATGGCCGTCGGCCATTGCATCCATGATTTCGCTCCCTGGTATATGTAGACCAACATAGCTAGGGCCGCAACCGAGACGAGGGAGCGGGCTCGAGGCGGAACTTAGCAGCGGCCCGCCCCACTTGCACAAGAGCAGGCACTGGCAGCGCCGATGGCGGGAGTTTGCGCGGAGCCTCGGCAAGCACTGGCACTTCATGATCAGCCGCATGCCTTGGTGGAACGTCCTCGGCCGCGCGCTCGCCTTCCCAGATGTTGCGCCAGTTGCCCATCTGGTCGTCAGCGCTCTCCTGCGGAAGATGCGACACTGCGCCAAGCCTTGATCTGAGCGCGTGGCCGTGCTGGACCCCGGTGATAGCGTGGACCTGCGCGGGCCCCGTCACCATGACATCCCGAACCCAGACCTCGAACTTCTCGACGCGATGCTGACCTGCTCGCCTGCCCAAGGCGTCGACGCAGGCCAGGATGGTCTCAGCGAAAGCCCGAGGGTGAAATTTACGGCGAACAGGATGCTGCACACTCGCGAGATGGATGATGTCCCAGGCGCACTCGAAGCACACATTGCCCATGGTGGCGAGGACATCTCGCCTGCGCCCTGCCCGCGGTGGCGAGGCGAGCCCGTCTTGCTCTTCGATGAAGGGGGGATGCACGTTTAGCAGAGGGGGCCGAGACCTTCTTGGGGGCAGCGAGTGCGCCAGTCGACGCGGCCATGGCCCCAGTCGACCCCGAAGGCCCAAAACACGAAATACATGGGGCATGCCCCGCGGCTCTGCCATCGTTCCGTTCCAAATGAGCGCGGGAGCCTATATCGCAGGCAATGACAGACATGGCAATAGACTGCGGGGCGTCGGCAAATTGCTGGACGGACGCCACTCCGCACGCGTCGAGAAAGTCGGCGACCAGGTCAAGAACTGCTTGATCCACGACACGAAGGCAACGACGCTCGCTGCATCCAACTGGGCGCGGCCCCGGTGGCCCCCGGGTGCAAGTGACCCCGTCAGCTCGTCCCCGATAGGCGTCAGGTTCCGCGACATGATAGATGCCGATCAGATCGCTCTCCAGGTGGGCGACGAACTGGCCAAATGGGGCATTCGTGCGCCCTGCCGCTTCCGACCTTGTCATCGGAGGCCCTCTCTGCGCGCCCCGGTCGACTATGTCCAAATACTATGGCGCGTCGGTCGGCTCTCGGAGGATTGCAACCCTCAGTGGCAGGGAGCCCGCTGGGAAAGCTCTTCGGGGCCGCGATGCCGAGGGCCTGCATGGTCTTCGGCTTGGCCTTCATGTAGGCGACGACAGGCTCGCGAGGTCTCGCTGGCCAAGTAGCCGCCGTAGCTGGCAAGCTGCAAACCACGTCGAGGCCTGGAGATGGCATGTAGAAGTCGATGTTACTAGATGTGCCTTTCGCCGCGCGACAGGTAGCCCCCTCCTCGGCATAAAGCAGAGCCTCAGGGATCAGCTCGGGCAGGCCCAACGCCTGATATTATTGCGGACACATGTGTATATACACTGAAAACCTCGAGCAATTATTGAAGGTCTGCTCGATGAGGAACTTGGCTAATGTTAGGTAGAACGAGTAGTTGGCGGACAGGCACGCGGCGCTGCGCGTGCTCCCATGTACGCAGATCCCACCAGTAGCCCTCCACTGAGTCCCACATCGACGTGCATGACCACTGCCAAGGCTGGCGCTGGCGGATCCCTCGGCGACGGTGGCTGGTACGTCAGGGCGCACAAACTCCTGCGCCAGCACTCAGCATTCCTGTCGGCAGCCTGCGACACTGCGTGACGAACACATGCCAGCCATTGCGGCGTGCCCAAGAATGCACCTGCGAAAGGCGCCCAGCATCGAGTCTCAACTCCTGGGCGCAGACGATGTTGACCCCTGTCGCACCTTCCACCAAAAAGGTTCTGCATGTGTCCCAGCACGATTGTAATATCCTTGCGCTTTGATCCTCTCGGTGCTCTAGTCCTGTTCGGCGCCCGCGTTCTCCCAGGCGGTCTGTTCAACGTGCATGGCTTCGGGTGCCCCTGCTGGCGGTAAGGAACGAAAATCGGCTGATTGACCTGCGCTGCGTGCACGTGCTGGAGGTCCTGGTGGGGCTGGCGCAGCGACTCCCGGGGCGGCCATCGACCCAACGTTGGCAACCTGCTGCTCGAGAGGTGAGGAGCTGCGCGCCGTCGATGGTCGAGGTGCCAGCGCGCGCTGCCTGCAGAACTGCCTGAAGCTGTTGGACTGCCACTGACACATTCGCCAACCCTGGGGCCGCTGACGCTGTAGCGGCAGCCGCGGCGGCTGACTTGGCCCTGTCCATCTCTGCGCCGAGAAACTGCGACGTCGCCCTCGAGCTTGGTGAGCTGCTGCATGGCCTCCGTAGGCTCTGTCTCGAGCTTGTTTCCATATCCTTGGCACCCATCGGTCTTTCTAGCTCCGCAGCAAGTCCGACGGGCCCATCCGAGCACGTAGTGCGGACTCAGCCTTGTCCAGGTCGGCCTTGGCGGCGATGAAAACGTCGCGGCCGTCACCGTAGATCGATCCTCCAGAAAGCCAGCCAGGCACACTTGGACTTGGGGGCGCATCCTGCTGAGGAGAAGAATCAGGAGCAGCCTGACGAGCAGCGGCAGGAGCATCACCACGATCGTGCTATATGGCGGGTCCTTGCCCCTGGACGGCTGGCGCTTCCACGCAGCTGCGCTCTGCGCGCGATTGGGGGCTACCGCAGGCTTGCCGTCCCTGTCGCGCCCGCAAGCCCAGCACGCACTCCTCGCGGCGTAGTTGCGGAATCCGCAATGTCTTGTCGCCTTGCACGGCCATACTTCACCCTCTGGAGGCATGGTCGCAGTGGCGCCTGCTGGGTCGCCGCCGTGGTGCACCTGCAGCAAACTCCTGGCGGCGGCCTCGCGCAGGCTGCCGCGCGCTGGCGCGGCGCCCACGAAGGCGGCTGTGCCAGGCAGAGGACAAGGTGCGCCTTTCCAGGCCGCGCTCCGCGCCGAGATCGCCCGCGCCCGCTCTCGGGCAGCAGGCTGGGGCCAAGTGGATGCGCCCGCCACGCGCCCCCGCGCGCGTGGGAGCCCAAATGGCAGCCTGAGGAAGAAGAGAAAGAGGAGGAAGCAGAGGAGGATAATGAGGATGAGGACGAGGATGAGGATGAGGATGAGGATGAGGATGAGGATGAGGATGAGGATGAGGATGAGGATGGGGATGATGATAACTATGATGATGATGATGATGATGATGAGGAGGAGGAGGAGGAGGTCGCCCAGAGGTGCTGCCACGAAGTGGTCGAATCTTCAGAACGCACTCCATTACCCGGTTGCCCTGGGCACGGGGCCGCTCTGCGCGCGGGGGAAAAAGAGAGAGAGAGAGAGAGAGAGAGAAGCGTGGGGGTGAAGGCGGGCGAGCGGCAGGGAGAGGGATCCAGAGAGAGAGGGGAGCAAAGAGAAAGAGAGAAAGAGAGGGAAGAGCATGCACATGCAGATATAGCGGTCTAGGCTTACACTATCTATCGATACATAGATATATAAAAAACATATATATCTATATATATCGATGTTTCCACGAGGCCCCAAAGGAGACCCCCAAGAGGCCCAACGGAGACCCCCAAGAGGCCCCCAAGAGGCCCCAAGGAGATCCCCAAGAGGCCCCAAGGAGACCACCGCGCAGCCGCCCGCACTAGTAATAGGGGGTCGGCGGCAGAGGGCGAAGTCCTGAAGATATCTGTATATATGAGTGTATACATATATATATAAATATATATATATATATAATATATATATATATATATATTATTTATACATATTCCCTTTTCTATTTTTTCATAATTCTGGGGTTGCGGACCCCCCCCCCCCGAAACGGGACCCCCCGGATCCGTGCCACGGGGGCGGCCGAAAATCCTTTCCAAGGCGTACACGCAGGCGGGCGGCAGTGCCAAATCAGTCGGCGCAAGCCCACAGAGACACCCAAGACAGTCCAGGATAGCACCCGGGTAGCCTTGAAGACCCCCCGCGAGAGACCCAAGACCGTTCTCAAAGGGGGCCCGAGAGAACAAAATCATTGAATTTCCAGTGGTTTTTCAATGTTTTTAGCGTTCTCGCTTTTTCGGGTTTCCGACGCTCCCGGACCGCCCAAGAAGCTCCCCAAACCGCTCCAAGACGGCCCAAGAAGCTCCCAGAGCGCGCTGAGAGCGCCCCAAGACGGTCCAAGACGCGCCCGAGATGGCCCACGAACGCTCCAAGACGAGGAGGAAGAGGAGGAAGAGGAGGAGGAGTCGAGGAGGAGGATGAGGAGGGAGGAGGAAGGAAGAAGGAGGGAGGAGAGAGGAGGAGGGAGGAACGAGAAGGGAGGAAGGAGGAGAAGGAAAAGAGAAGAGAAGCGGACTGAAACCTCCCTGTGCCCAGGGGAGGGCGCCGCGGAAGACAACGTGTCGCGTGGTCCTTCCGCCCGCAGGAGGAAGCTACGGCGGGTTCACGTCGCGATGACGTCGGCATTGGTTTCTCACACAGCGCGGCTCGTTCAATCTGGAACGATCGCAGCATTCAGACAGCGCAGGTAACTCGATGCTGACCGATCCAAGACCACTGGTGGCGATCAGCCTTGAACGCCTGCGCCTGCGTCGTCGCCGAGTTGACACGCGGACCTGCCACAGCCGAGTTCGACCCTTCAGGAAGAAGCTTCAACGAGCTCCAGATGGAGCTTTGGCATGGCGAGTCGTGGGGGGGGGGGGGCCTGCGCCTTGGCCTGCTTGGACAGGTAGATCATGAACCACCTGCAGGCTGTGAGCCCGATGCCCAGAGTGCCCGCGAGATATCAGGGGGCCGCACCGTCCCTCGCCCTCCTCATCCTCCTCCTCCTCCTTCTTCCTCTTCCTCCTCCTGCTCCTGCTTCTCCTCCTCCTCATCCTCTTCATTATTCTTCCTACTCTTTGGCTGTGTTCGCCTCCATTCCCCTCGTTCTCCTCTTCCTCCTCCTCCTCCTCCTCCTCAGTATCAGCAGCATGATCATCATCACCACCACAATCATCATCCTGCGGATCCTCATCCTCCTCCTCAGCATCATCTTCACTTCGCAAACACCACAACCCTCATCCTTCCGCTTTAATTATGCATCTCGGTCGGTTGAATTGGCCAACGTGTCGTGATAATCCAGTGTACCCCCCTACCCTGCATGAGCTATAGTACATACATGCATGTGTACGCACACGCGCACGTACATGCATATGAGACCTGTAGTGAAACTCACTACGCACGGATGTAAAATTAGCCTGGCGAAGGACCCAATCATATGCAGCTGCGAGTAACGTCGGATATTGCCTTCTCATCATAGGCAGCGCGCCGCGAGAGAGATGGAGCACGGGGCAACGCTGATGGGAACCCCGAAACGTGTGCGGGGTGTGCACAAGTGGGCTGGGGGACGCATGCGGGCGCTGCCACTGGAGCCGTCGGCGGAGCTTCCTATGGGCCACGAAACATGTGAGGGTCTATCAAAATAGGCAGAGGAAGGCATGGGGGCCGCGAGGCGTGTGAGGGGCGTGCCGAAATGGAGGTGACGCCGCCATGCGAACCCTGCCGCTGAGGCCTGCAGTGGAGCTCCATATGGGGCCGCGAAACGTGCGGGGGGGGGGGGGGGCCGAAATGATGCGGGGCCGCCATGCGGAACCTGCCACTGGGTCCTTCGGTTGAGCGCCCTATGGTGCCACGTATGAGAGGTGTGCCGAAATGGAGCGGGGCCGCCATGCGAACCCTGCCACGAGGGCCTTCGGTGGAGCTCCCTATGGGGCCACGAAACGTGTGAGAGGTGTGCCGAAATGGGGCGGGGCCGCCCTGCGAACTCTGCCACTGGGGAAGCTCCCTATGGGGCCACGAACCGAGTGAGCGGTGTGCCGAAGTGGGGCAGGGCCGTCATGCGAACCTTGCCACTGAGGCCTTCGGTGGAGCTCCCCATGGGGCCACGAAACGTGTGAGGGTAGGGCGGGGCCGCCATGCGAACCCTGCCACGCGGGCCTTCGGTGGAACTCCCTATGGGACCACGAAACGTGTGAGGGATGTGCCGGAATGGGGCAGCGCCGCCATGCGAACCCTGCCACTGGGGCTTTCGGTGGAGCTCCCTACGGGGCCACAAACTGTGTGAGGGGAGTGCCAAAATAGGGCGGCGCCGCCATGCGAACCCTGCCACTGGGGCCTTCAGTGGAGCTCCCTATGGGGCCACGAAACGTGTGAGGTGTGCGCCGAAACAGAAACATGCGGAGAGCAGAAACACAGAAACGGAAAAGCGAGGAGGGGGAGGAGGAGAGGAGAGAAAGGAGACGCAGGGCGCTGTCTCTTCAAAACGAGAACCCAACATCACAGGATGGTTGGGAAAAAGTTTGGCGTAGCGCATGGTGCGCGGGATGGGGTGCAGCGACGCGCGGACAAGTGTCGATGACGTGCCAGCGCGCAGGTGGCTGGGAAAGGTATGGGCGACGGTGTGGAGGAAAGAGGTTCGCCCTCCCCGCCCTCCCTCCTCCCTCGCGGCCGCTTTCGTCTGTCTTCCCCTCCTCCTGCCGCTGGTAAATTTGCGTTTCCGTTGCCCGAACCGCCTGAGCGTGCGTGCGGACCGCCTCTGCCGCGCTGCGACGTAGAAAGTGTGAGACTGGATGTCTTGTTTCTTCTTGTCTCAAGGGTCTCTGCAGGCCCCCTGGGGCAATCTTGGAGAAGCACGGCGTCTTGCTGGAGGAGGAGGAGGAGGAGGAGGAGGAGGAGGAGGAGGAGGAGGAGGGGGGGAGGAGGGGGAGGAGGAGGAGGAGGAGGAGGAGGAGGAGGAGGAGGAGGAGGAGGAGCAGGAGGAGGAGGAGGAGGAGGAGGCCAGCCGTGCCTTGTTCCCGGATAGCCCTCCGAGAGCTAAGAGGTTTCCCTATCAGAAGCCAGCACCGCAGGGAAGCCCCGGAGCTCGCTCCGACTTCTGGCAGCGCACCCCGCAGCGAGTTGCCTGCAGCTGCAGCGTGTCCCCCTTGTGGGCCGTCTTGGAGCCCTCTTGGGGGCATCCTCGACCGGCTTGGATGCCTCTTGGGCCGTCTTGGACGCAGTGGAAGCCCAAAGGCGAACACGCCAAAAAGATCAGTTTCCCTACAGGAAATCGAGGAGGAGGGGGAGGAGGAGGGGGAGGAGGAGAGGGAGGATGAGGAGGAGGAGGAGGAGGAGGAGGAGGAGGAGGAGGAGGAGGAGGAGAGGAGGAGGGGGAGGCTTCTCGAACTGCCCCCCAATACGCGTGCCCTGAAGCTTCCAGAGCGTGGCCCTTCGGAAGCTCCTTCGGAGACCTTCCAGAGCCTCTTCGGGAGGCGCTCGAGGGCCTCTTCGCGCTCCGCTATCTGGGCTCAGGTCGGGCATCTCCTCCTACCAGCGGATTTTGCGCTAAAAAGTTTTTTTTTAAAAAAATAAAAAATTAGCCTGGCGAAGGACCCAACCATATGCAACTGTGAATACCGCAAGTGTGAATATCGTTTTCGGCGGCGCTACCTCTGGGTAGTGGAGACGCATGCGAACACCCCCACTGGGGCCTTCGGTGGAGCTCCCTATGGGGCTACGAAACGCTGCCCTGGGTGGGGGAACCGCATGCAGGCAGCCCCACTGGGGCCTTCGGTGGAGCTCCCTGTGGGGCCACGAAACGCTGCCCTTGGTGGGGGAACCGCATGCGGGCACCCCCACTGGGGCCTACGGTGGAGCTCCCTCTGGGGCTACGAAACGCTGCCCTGGGTGGGGGAACCGCACGAGGGCAGCCCCACTGGGGCCTACGGTGGAGCTCCCTATGGGGCTACGAAACGCTGCCCTGGGTGGGGGAACCGCATGTGGACACCCCCACTGGGGCCTTCGGTGGAGCTCCCTATGGGGCTACGAAACGCTGCCCTGGGTGGGGGAACCGCATGTGGACACCCCCACTGGGGCCTTCGGTGGAGCTCCCTATGGGGCCACGAAACGCTGCCCTGGGTGGGGGAACCGCATGTGGACACCCCCACTGGGGCCTTCGGTGGAGCTCCCTATGGGGCTACGAAACGCTGCCCTGGGTGGGGGAACCGCATGCGAACACCCCCACTGGGGCCTTCGGTGGAGCTCCCTATGGGGCCACGAAACGCTGCCCTGGGTGGGGGAACCGCATGCGAACACCCCCACTGGGGCCTTCGGTGGAGCTCCCTATGGGGCTACGAAACGCTGCCCTGGGTGGGGGAACCGCATGCGAACACCCCCACTGGGGCCTTCGGTGGAGCTCCCTATGGGGCCACGAAACGCTGCCCTGGGTGGGGGAACCGCATGTGGACACCCCCACTGGGGCCTTCGGTGGAGCTCCCTATGGGGCCACGAAACGCTGCCCTGGGTGGGGGAACCGCATGTGGACACCCCCACTGGGGCCTTCGGTGGAGCTCCCTATGGGGCCACGAAACGCTGCCCTGGGTGGGGGAACCGCATGTGACACCCCCACTGGGGCCTTCGGTGGAGCTCCCTATGGGGCCACGAAACGCTGCCCTGGGTGGGGGAACCGCATGTGGACACCCCCACTGGGGCCTTCGGTGGAGCTCCCTATGGGGCTACGAAACGCTGCCCTGGGTGGGGGAACCGCATGTGGACACCCCCACTGGGGCCTTCGGTGGAGCTCCCTATGGGGCTACGAAACGCTGCCCTGGGTGGGGGAACCGCATGCGAACACCCCCCCCACTGGGGCCTTCGGTGGAGCTCCCTCTGGGGCTACGAAACGCTGCCCTGGGTGGGGGAACCGCATGTGGACACCCCCACTGGGGCCTTCGGTGGAGCTCCCTGGGGCCACGAAACGCTGCCCTGGGTGGGGGAACCGCATGTGGACACCCCCACTGGGGCCTTCGGTGGAGCTCCCTATGGGGCTACGAAACGCTGCCCTGGGTGGGGGAACCGCATGGACACCCCCACTGGGGCCTTCGGTGGAGCTCCCTATGGGGCTACGAAACGCTGCCCTGGGTGGGGCATGTGGACACCCCCACTGGGGCCTTCGGTGGAGCTCCCTCTGGGGCTACGAAACGCTGCCCTGGGTGGGGGAACCGCATGTGGACACCCCCACTGGGGCCTTCGGTGGAGCTCCCTCTGGGGCTACGAAACGCTGCCCTGGGTGGGGGAACCGCATGTGGACACCCCCACTGGGGCCTTCGGTGGAGCTCCCTATGGGGCTACGAAACGCGCGAGAGGTGTGCCGAGAGCAGAGGCAAGGAGGGGGAGGAGGGCGAGGAGGAGGAGAAACGCGGGGCACCGTCTCTTCAAAACGAGGACCCAACACCACAGGATGGTTGGGGGAAAAAAAAAAAAACGAAAACAGTCGAAAACTCGTCGCCATACGATGTTTGGACTATGTTTGAACGTTCCTCCTGTAAAGGGACACGCCCGACTTCAATCTGGGCGTTGGACTCCGCAAATGAGGCCATCTTGGGGGCCCTCGGCACCTGGTGGGAAGCGCGCTGTGGGTGTACCGTCCACAGAGCACGCGCGGATCTGGAAGGCATACCTGCGGCGATGCTTTGGAAGAGACATGATCGAGCGACGCGAGCGGGGCATGAGGATCAGAAGGGCGGTGGGTCCAGAAATCACGACGATAAGTAATGAAAAGAAATGCTCGAAGCCACGAGAAGGAGCGAGAGCATGACAGAAAGAGGAGCAGTAGCAGAAGGCAGAGACACGGAGGAGGATGCAACGCGGCCTCTTGGGGCCATCTTGGGGGGCGTCATGGATTTTCTTGGAGCCTCGTGGAACCCGTTGGGTCTTACTGAG